TATATATGAGATAGTCTGGGCATGATGGTACATGCTTGAAATCCTAGCACTCTGGGAGGTTGGCAGGAAGATCAGACTGTCATCCTCAGCCTGGGCAACATAAATGACTGATGAGACTCTGTTTCAAAATAAAAAATAAAAAAAGCTGGGGGATGTAGCATGTTGCTAAGACCCTGCATTAAACCTCCAGTACTGAAAATACTGTGGTATGTATACATAATGGAATTGTACTCAATGGAGAATGAAATGATATCATTTGCTTAAGAAATAGATGAATCTTGAGTTCATAATGCTAAGTGAAAATAAGCGAGACAGTTCAATGTCACATGGTATAGTTTGTATGAGAAACTCAAAATAAGAATTAAGGGGTAAAATGAGAGATGATGGTAAAATGAAAAGAGGCAAACTTTTTATAGAGGGCAAAGAGGTTCAGTGGAAGGGAGATGGGTGGTGGTATGGATGAAATGGTATCAAAAATAATCAGCATATATCAGTTCCCCAAAATTAAAGTAAATATTATGTGTTGCAACTGTGAGTTATAAGCTCCCAAATGAATAATAGTCTTTCAGTAAAAGCTGTTTTCAAGCCATCTTCCAAAGAGTACATTAAATTCATTGTCAAATATGGTTAAGGAGCCTCACACCAGATCGCCTCCTGATAAATCATTAATAAGGAGACAATTTTAAATATGATTGGTTGTTTTGTTATTTTTTTCTTCTACAGAAGTGAAGAGGCAGAGAAATGCTGTCAGTGTACATTATACTATCAACATGGAGGAATGTTTTTTTGGACTCCGGACCCTAATGTGAACATGAAACTACTTGGTACACAACCAACTGAAAGCCTTGCTTGTAGAACTCCCCTGATGAGTTATTCATCACTAAATCTGCCCATCAGAACTCACAGTACAGTGAAATCATGTGAGTATCTGGGATCTGAAGAGAAGCTGTCTAATAGTAATGAACATGGAGAAACCTGCAGAGATTTCCAGGCTTTTCAGAAACACACAAGAATAAGCCCTGGAGAGAAACCCTCCAGGGGAAAGCAATGTGGAAAATCCTACTCTGATTGTACTGAAGGAACTTATATTGGAGAGAAGCCCTCTGTATGTAAGCAAGATACTGAAGCCTTCGATACACCCAATTATTTTCAAATGCATGAGAAATATCACAGTGGAGCAGATATCTCTGTGTGTACCCAACGAGGAAATGCTTTTAATTCTCACTACAATATTCAAATACATAAAAGAGCTCACACTACAGAAAAACCCTATGTATGTAAACACTGTAAAACAGCTTTTACTAATAACTCTTCATTTTGTAGACATAAAAGAACTCACAAATTGAGGAAATCATATGTATGTAAGCAATGTGGGAAAACATACCTTCATTATAGTTCATTATTTAGACATAAAAGAACTCACACTGGGCAGAAACCCTATGTATGTAAGCATTGTGGGAAAGCATTTGGTGATTGTGGTTCACTTTCTAGACATAAAATAAGTCACACTGGAGAGAAACCCCATGTATGTAAGCAGTGTGGAAAAGCTTTCAACAGACGCAGTCATTGTCAGGCACACGAAAGAACTCACACTGGAAGAACTGACAGTAGAAAGAAACCCTTAGTATGTAAGGATTGTGGGAAAGCATTCATGTATAGCAGTTCATTTTGTATCCATAAAAGAAGTCACACTCAAGAGAAACCTTTTGTATGTAAGCATTGTGGGAAAGCTTTCGCCAGTTCCAGTTCCTGTTATTCACATGAACGAATTCACACTGGAGAGAAACCCTACATCTGTGAGCAGTGTGGGAAAGCTTTCGCCAGTCCCAGTTCTCGTCAAGTACATGAACGAA